GCTTTTCCGGCCACCCCTGTGCAACCCTAGATCCTTCTATACTCAACCATTGGTCACGATGTCTTAATGAAAATTGATCAGAATTTTATCAGGAATCTAACCATGCCATTAGTTTACACTGAAAACGCGTGATTCACTAAAACCAAGATCTCAACCGAAAATGGAAGGAACCCTAACTTGTCTCTATCCATGAAATTAACTAACCAGAATTCATCTACATGTTAAGGGGAACCTAACCACATGCTTCTAATGGATTAAAAGTGCATAATTACAGAGATATTTCAAAATCTTAGAACCAACCTTGAGGCTCAGATTGTGGTGGTTATGTGCTTCAATTCTCCCTCAAACGATGCAGAATCCTTCAAGGAGTAATGGTGAACAATTCTTGATGCTTAGTTCTTGCTGCAACCTCTTGATTCTCCAAAACGCATTTCCAATTTTTCAAGCTTTTCTTCACTTCACATCAATGGATTCTCAACAGAATTCTGCTCCAGAACCTTCCAAATTCGTTCTAATCCTTACTTATAGTGTGTTCAGATGGATAACAAGCCCAAACTAGGCCCAATTATTGATTTTGGATGTTCACCTTTCCTTCCAAATTTCAATATGAAAGTGTGCCTTCAAGCCTTACTCATGCTCTAAACTCAATCCAAACCATCCACTTAATCATTAAGGAATGTGATACAATGGTTTTTTCCCTTTGGTTTTAACATGGGGAGTGTACATGATATGTTTCTTAAATGTGAAGTAACCATCCAAATGACCATGATATGGACCTCAAATCCAAAATGTGGCAATGCCAATCTTTCTAAAACATTAATTCCATTCAAATTGATCACAAATTTGACTTGGAAACATGTTACTCTCATTTCTTTTGAATTTTCTCATTTTAAATCATTAAAATGGCTTTCATGTGAAGTTTCTTCAACCAATGCTTGATATAATCCATATCAATGGACACTTGATGTTTAGAAAAGCTAAAAACATCATTTTGAACAACTTTGATGTTGAACATTTTTCCATTTGAAGCTTGGAAATAGGAGTTATGGCCTTATGCTTGAAATGACCTGTAATCTCCAAATGACCAAAATGCCCTTGACTTGTCAAAGCCATAACTTGAGTTCTACAAATCCTATCAAGGACTTCTAGTACTCTCTAGAAAGCTAAGAAAATAAGGAAAAATATTCATGTTGACCAAAAGTTCATAGGAATCATCCTTCTAGGGAAAAAGTTTCATGCAAGTTGGACAACTTTCAATCTCCAAATTCACATACCTCAGATGACCTGTAACTTGTCAAAGTCACAACTTGAGTTCTACAAATCCTATCAAGGACTTCTAGAACTAAAATTAAAGCTAAGATCAAGCTATACAACATTCATGTTGGGGGTAAGATGAGATGACAATCACATCTTGAGCTAAACTGCCTTGAAGATAGGGGTCAAAATAGGGGATTTTACACTGTCAAGCCTTAGAAACCCTAGCTTGAAACTTCTCAAACTCTTCAATCATGATGATTTGACCTTGGAATCATCCTTATAACATCTCAATGTATCAATCCATGATCACATGGCTCTTGGATTAGGCCTCAACCTTGCCCAAATCATCAGTTGACCTAGGGTTGACCCAGTCAAACCCTAATTGCACCACTCATGGCTGAGTATTCTTATTCTTGCACAATGACCTATCTAGGCCTCATGATGGCTTTCAAAACATCTCATGAGCTCTCTCAAGGCTTCAAGTCCACATTCCTGGCTTCAGAATCATCTGAGGTATTCCCACAATTTTCAAGTTAGGAGGCACACCCTCTTTTGGTCTCAACCACTCTCTCTGGGGATCTTCTAACTTCTCTGACAAAGATATCAACCCTTGAACACTTGAATAACCTTCTTAGCTAGCTTCAAACTCTTGTGTAGCCCTTAATTGGTAATCATACCTCTTGATCTCCTGCACACATGTCAATGAAATGCAGATGATAATGCTAATGTGAATGCAATGAAACATAAGCTAGGTAAAGAAGAGTTGGGCAAATTTTGGGGTGCAACAAAAGCGTCGACCACATTTTCCAAGAAGAGGTCATGATCGAAATGTTGGGCTTGGTACTCCGACCACGAGATGTTGAAACTTACGGTGGGGAAGAACGAGGGTTTGTAACAAAAAATGGGCATCTCCAGATGTTGAGTCGACTTAGTAAACTTGAGGAAGTTCGTTTGTTCCGTCAAGTTAAGCCTTCGACCAGCCCACACGATGTCATCACGATGTTGAACTAATGGCTTTGGCAGCATCTGGATCAGGCCAAATTTTCGAGCAACCAGATTGGGCTGATAGTTCATGAACCCGTAACCAGTGTTGCTCGAATCAATGTGAAATGATAGCATTATTAGAGTTAAGAAAGCTCTCCATATGGAGTTGGACAGTGCAGCTGTTCTAGGGGAAGCGCCAGGAAAGGGATTTTGGAACCAACTCGGCCCAAACATTCGATGGGCAAAGGCAGCCATCCCAGGAACAAAGATGTTTGCCTCGACAAACATAGTGAGGTACTTCATGAAGAGGGTTTTGTTGGGGGTTTCCTGCGTGGTCAGGAGAGCAAGTCAAACTCTTTCCACCGGTCGATCTACTTTCAGGCGTTGCATCTTGGTCGACACTAGATAACCCAATTGATGCTCAACGGTGGCGTTCAACCAATGTTGCAGTAGCCTTATTGGCTCCGACACATTCAAGGCTTTGGTGGTTTTGTAAAGACGGGAAATCTTCAGCGAGGACAGCCCCACAGAATGATACAGAGAGGCCAGAAGAAGTTTTCCAAGGGCCACCTATCGACCCTCATGGATTTGAATAGCCAAGCTTATGTAGCTTTTGGCTATTTGCAAAGAACCTGGGCATAAGAGGTAGTACGATAGCCATAGAGTCAAGAAGGCAATGTGCTCTTCGTGTGACACTTCGAATTTATCTTTGTCATGATGGTCTTCGATGAAATTCTAAAAGCCAGCATGGTCGAAGTCGAAAGATGCCTCAATTTCCATGGTGGGTCGAAGGTTTCACCCAATGGGGAAAAACCAGTAATGGCCGCCACATCGAAAAGGGTAGGCGACAGCATCCCACAGGGCAACAGTAAAGTTTTTGTCGAACCTTCCCAAAAGAACATCGACGTCAGTAGAAGACAAGGGTTGACCCTGTGAATATTTCTTGAGAGTTGAATGGCGTCAAAGATGCTAGATCTTTTCCATTGGTCCTGACACTTGTTCTGGACCTTGTTCAATCAGGCAAGGTAATCTTTGTTGCCTGGGGTTGGCATCGAATGAAACACCCTAGCCTTTGGCGCCATGAATTTCAAATCAAGGGTGCCACCTTTGCGAAAAGCCGGGGAATGGCTGCCGGAAAGCCAGGGAAAAACGACTGCATGTTCTCATGGCTAGGTTTTCCAGTAGGATAAAGGCCACGAAACGCATGGAGTTTTCCGTCTACCGCGAAGGGAATGATCATTTGTTTTTTCCAAGCAGCCAAAACATTTTCGTCAGCGGAAGTGGGGTTGGGAAGAGGTTTATGAGCGTCAGCCTCTGAGATGACTAAAGCAATAGGATTGTTACCCATTGTGTGGGTTTGGGAAGCAGTTGAGGAAGCCATTGAAGGTGGTGATTTAAAAAACTGGTACGGTTTTTGGTTGTTTGAAGAAGAATAAGCAATAGAGAAAGTATTGTGAAAAAGTTCCAAAATGAGGCAAAAGGGCTATTTATAATCAGAGTTGGCTGGAGACGAAAAGACAAATAACTTTTCAGCTTCTCACTCGTGGGAGAGGTAATGAGTGAAAGTTGGTATTGATGTGGGAAAGTGGAAAAGAATGATGGAAATCCTTGAAAATTGTGGCGCAGAAAGGTGCCATCATCACGTCAGGAGGCAACTGATACGTGGCTGATTCGACAGAAAACCATGATGGCGCAGACAACTACTACACACCTAGAAAACACCAAGTCTCTCAGTCGACAGGATCCTCCGTCGAGACTTGGGTTTTGGTGGGGCATCTTGTTGGCTAAAAAAGAGCCAACTGAAAACATCGACAAAGAAAGGGTCGACCTCGACAGGAGATAAGAAAAAAAGCCCTTAATCGACAGTATTCTTTGTTGGAAGAAAGCATTTGGAAAACACTGGCAGTAAAGTGTCGAAGTCGACAAGTCTAAAAGAGACATATCCTAAGTCGACGTTCCAAGGAAATATGCGTGATCGACAGGGACATAGTTTGGTCGACTAAAACAACAAAAGGCACACCTGACAAAGGAGTCTTGTTGCCTGGCGGGAAATAGATTTGACAAAAGGAACATGGTGGAAGTTACAAAAGTAGTGGCCTTACACGTGGCGGCTCCTGAAGCGACCTGACGATTATTTTATTTGCCTATATAAAGCAAAACCCGGCTTGAAGAAATGGGTGTTCTTTGTCAACATTTTTCTTTCTCAGCCTAATATTTCTGCTCCAAGTCCCCTGAAACGAGTCTTTCTGCTTGCACCCCTCAAGTAAAGACTTACTGCTCCAATTCCATGTACTAAGCATTTTTGCTCAAGCCCCTTAGGCCCAAGACTTCTGCTCAAGATTCCATGAAACGAGTCTCTGCTTGCACCTCCTAGAAATATTAGGGGCATTTCAGGAGTCTCCTTAGTTGATTAATCATTTGTATATGTTTTTTAGTTTTGCTTTGTTTAGGGTATGTTCAAGTTTTTTTTTTTCTGTTTCAAGAAATTCATTATGTTCCGTTTCAAAATAATTTACGTTCGGTTCTATCTTAAAAAAAAACAAGTTAAAATGATTTTTTTTTAATTTTAAAAAATTAATAAATAAGAGGCACACTTAAAAAGAAATAAATATTATTTTTGGATATCAAACTCATGACCATTCCTAAATTTTCTTTCGTTAAACAAAACAACTAAGAGAAAATCTAACACACTTTCCATGACAATTTATTTATCTCATATACAAATTTTTGGTGATGAAGAAGATACAACACTAATGATTTCACTTCAATAAAAAGTTGTACAAATTTAATGCTAGTCTTGGCTTTGCTACTGCCAGAAGTGGCTCAGCCAGAAACATATCACCTTCAGCCTCAACAAGGTTGATACCCGATGTATCGTCAGGTGCACTCCAAGTGAAGCCATGTAGCAACCTAGCCAATTGCATAATAGTCATTGTAGTGCCAAGCATCACACCAGGACAACCACGCCTCCCTACACTAAAGGCTAAATACTTCAAATTTGGCTCTGTCAGTGTCACATCAGACTCATCATTCTTGAGATGGCGTTCAGGTTTGTACTCGTAAGGTTCTTTCCAAACTTTTGGGTTTCTTCCAAGACCGTCTCTTCCTATTATCACATGGCTACCCTTTGGTATGAAGTAACTTCCAACTAGTGTATCGTTCATAGAGACATGTGGAACATTGAAAGCCACTGTTGGATGGAGGCGTAATGATTCTTTGGCACAAGCTTTCACAAAATTGAGCTGAGGAATGTCATATTCTTGGACCAATCTACTTCTCCCAACTATTTTATCCAATTCTTCTGTGGCTTTTTGAATCAATTCTGGGCGGTTTATCATTTCAGCTAATGTCCATTCAACTATATTTGATGGATTGTCCACCACTGCCAAAATCAATTCCTACAGTAAAGTTTTATTTTTAGTATAACATTAAAAATATAAAGTATTGAAGTGATGCAATGTTGTCTTACCGTAACCTGTGCTTTAACTTCCTTCAATGTTAATAATGGATTATTATTAACATCTTTCAATGAGATCATAACATCTAACAAATCCTCTTCAACGGTCTTTGATCCATCATTCCACTCTTTGAATCTCTCTTCAACAATAGAATCATGATACTTCTTCATTATAGCCATTCCTTTTTTCACCTCCCTCTTATGTCCATCCCAATCCACCACCCCTAACCATGGAACATAATCAGATACAGAGAAAGCATAAAGATGCTTAAGCAATAAAAAAACAGCATCTACATGTTCTATTTCTTCAACGCCAGGCCCTCCGTCTTCCATACCTTTTCCGAAATACCTTCTACTAAAAAAATATTTCCTATACACATTCCCACAGTAATGTCTTGAAGCAACCCTAACATTCACAAGGCCACCATTGTTGTAGACATAAGACACAAGGTTGTCAGCTTCTTCATTTCTTTTGTCTTGAAGAAATTGATGCCTTAAGGGCGAGAACAATTCGCTTGCGATGATTTTCCTCATTTTTTTCCATTGTTCTCCAAAAGGTACGACAATTGATGTCAGATAACCTTCGGAGACAATATCAGTGGACATGGTTAATGGTCTTGATGCAAAAGTAGCATCATGTTTTTTTAAGATTTCACAAGCAAGATCTGGGGAAGTAATAGGTATAACGTGGACATTTCCTAGACGGATACATGCTATTTCGGTGTTTAATTCTTCCATAATCTTGTATATCCATTTAGATACAGGCTTGTTTAAAAGTATCTCAGGAAGATTACCAATTATAGGCCACGGTTTTGGACCTGGCGGTAGTTTCTGTTTCCTGCTATTTATACAGAGAATTTTTTTGATAATCATAATGCTAAAAACTGCAATAGTTGGTAAAAATAAATAGTGTAAGGAATTTTTCAAAAGGTGAAATAGTTGCAATAACTGAAAAAATCTAACCGTGTATTCCATAATAGCTGGAAAACGGGTTTTCAAAAGTTAAGGAACTAGCTAGATTCTATAATATGTATCAAGTGTAGATGTTTTATACTTCCTCAACCACTTGAAAGTATACTTCCTCAAGTGGAGATGTTTTATACTTCCTCAACCACTTGAAAGGGTGAAAAAGATAGGTTAAAGAAATACTAATAATGCTCAAGAGGTCTATGGAAATAATTGTGGTTTTAAATTGCAATAATTGCGAAATTCGATAGTCCTGCCATAGCAATTGCAGGTGACTATTGAGATGCCAAATGTATTTATTTATATAAATAAATTGTGTATATATCTCAAAAAATTTAACAATGTTGTATGTTTATACTTAAATTTAAATTCAAAATCTCTAATTAAGTTGAAAGAGATTTTTATCATCTCAATCAAGTGCTTTTGAATTGATACAAATTGCATTTATTTTAATATGAAATTACTCTTTTTTAGTAATATATAATAATTTACACCCCTTGTTTCACAAACCACGCCAGAACCAAACCTAATAGAAGAAGTAGTCGCAGGATAGACATAACTATCTGCAAGATCACTCAGATTTAGTTTTTAAAGACCGGAAAAATCTCCAAGATGTCAGGGTGAATGTCCTAGACATGTTTCCTTGACTTCCATATGCACAAAATCAAAGTTGATGGTGTCTTGATCTTCATCTTCACCAGTCATACAAATACAAGACAAAACACTTGGATAGAGGCCTAAAAACCTGCTGACAAAAAATCCCTTCAGTTGAAGTTAGATCATAATGCACTCTCCTTTATATTACTCCCAACTAGTAATGACATGAGCATCTAGAGAGGCTGACCCTATCTTCAACAAGCCAGGACAGATGTCAGAATATTTTAAAAGATATCATGCTTAACACAAGTATCATTATCAGCAGTAGCAGAAGAATCTTCAAAGAGCACTTAGTCAATCATCAGTAGTTGTCAGACCATATTCAGAACACTATCCTCCTAGCTTCCAATCTCCTTGAGGACAACAGTAAAAGATGATCTGATCACACAATCTCCTTCCTTGTTCAAAAGACCAGAAAGTATCTTCCCAAGAACTCATTCAGAAACAGAATAGGATGCCTGCTTTGATACCAATTAAAATTATGGTATGCAGATCTCAGATGTCCTAAGAGATGTCGAGACATTGATCTCTGCTAAAAACATAATAAGGACAGAACACAAGCATTTTGATTTACTTTAAGAATTAACAGTGTCATGACAGATGTTGTAACATTTGCAGACTGACAGAACAATTTATCCAACCATTTAAATTGTGCAGAATTTTAAATACAGAAAGATAAATAACACAATGAATTGTTAACCCAGTTTTGTGCAACATCACCTACATCTGGGGGCTACCAAGCCAGGAAGGAAATCCACTATCAGTAGTATCAATTCAGAGTTAAACTCCCCCGTTTACAACCCCTCACTTAATCCCTACCCAGTGCAACTTTTACCTAGGACACTCCTAGATATGAGACCACCTCCCACTCCCCCTCAATCACAATAGTAATAACAACAGATTGATAAAACGAAGAAGGCACTCTTCAAAGAAAATACTTGATCTTGCTTAATAGCTTCAATCAAGAACAATATACAACCTAAATATGTCTACCACGATGCATCAAAAGATACAAAGGGTGACTTACAAAGTCACAGACAAGAGACTCTCAAAACCCTGAACCCTTATTTTGCACCCACGATTTTCTTATTGTAAATGTCTTGTCTTCTTTAGGTCTAGTAATTCCTTATTTATATACTCTTCTAGTATGGGCTTGGAATTTAAAAAATACCTCAGATTTGATAAAATCAAATCAGATAATTCTTCAAATCTTTTCATAATTAACACCAATTCAGATTTGATCAAATCAAACTCCAAATCTTCTCATAATTAAAACCAACTTAGGTTTGATCAAATCAAATCAAATCAAACTCCAAATCTTCACGTTGTAAATCTTCTGCAGAATCTTCTCCACAAAAATAGGAACAAATATTTTATAGTTTCCTAAAAAATCTCAAAGATCCTTTTTATGAAATCCAATTAAATCTACACTTTGTTCCTAATAAATCTCCTTGACCTGCACACAATGATGAGGTATATCCAAGAGGATCTCATCAAATCAAAACACATTTGTCAAGAGATATAAAATAGCAGCGCCTGCTGTACCAGACCAAGATGTCATGATATCTGTCTTCGACATCTGTCTGAAACACATGATAGTAGTACTATCATAATAATTGATAGCAACGCCTGCTATACTAGATCTAGATGTCATGACATCTGTCTGAAACACACGACAGTAGTACTGTTATAACAGTTGATGAAGATGTTATAACATCTTGCTTAACATCAGTGTAGAATCATGTTTTACCAAAATTTAGCCAATCATAGAACCATGGAACTAACACTTCAGAAAATCGCTTTAGGAAATCTCTCATACGCTTCAAGAAATTGATTGACATACTCATTTCCAGGTTCGAATATGCATTGCTTCTCTCCCCCTATTCGTTGTTTCAATTCGTATTTTCGATTCGTCTTTCATTTTGATTCGTCGTTGATTCGTCATTTCGATTTCTTCTCTCCCTCTATTACTAAGTTTTGTCATAAATTTGTTCTACGATTTTCGATTTTTCTTAACCTATTTTCTTTTCGTTGCTTCTACGATGTCATTGTCATAAGATGTTTTCAGATGTATAGTCTACCCTATTTTCTTTGTTTATTTTTTAGTTTAGTAATATAAATATTATATTATTATTTATATTTATTTATTTATAAATAAATATGGCATAAATAAAAGAAAAATACAAAGGAAAAATGGAAACAAGAACTTAACTCATCAACTAAAAATTAAAAAAGATATGAAAATTAATTAACTAAAGACTTAAATGCACTTTTGGTTCCGATAAATTAGCGAGTTTTTGAATTTAGTCACTGTAATTTTTGTTATCTGAGTCCTTATATCTCACTTTTTTCGTGCGTTTTAGTAATAAAGCCAAAATCGGCAGAAAAATTTAAAGGAAAATCAGTAGAAAACTGCGAATTTAGCATTTGTTTTAACATGAAATTACTTTTTTAGTAATATATAAATATTATATTATTATTTATATTTATTTATTTATAATAAAAATACAAAAGAAAAATGGAGACAAGAACTTAACTCATCAACTAAAAATTAACAAAAATGAAAGTTAGTTAACTAAAGACTTAAATGCACTTTTGGTCCCAGAAAGTTAGCGAGCTTTTGAGTTTAGTCCCTGTAATTTTTTTTGTCTGAATTCTTATATCTCACTTTTTTTTCGTGCGTTTTAGTCCTGAAGTCAAAATTCGCAGGAAAGTTTGAAGGAAAATCTGTAGAAAATTGTGGATTTTGGCATTAGGAATAAACCACACGCAAAAAGTAGGATATAAGGACTCAGACTAAAAAAAATTACAGGAATCAAACTCAAAAACTCGCTAATTTATCGGGACCAACAAACGTTTTAAGCCTTAACTAAATTAAATATGTATATCTATTATTAAATCATCATTCACATAAATTGGTTAGGACGTATTTCTCTTAAATGTACAATTTTTCCATTTGAATATGATATTTCGAGGGAAGAATTTAACTACACAGAATTATTCTTATATTTATGTATACTACAAGAAAATACTTATTAGTTGCAGGTATTTAGCATCAGCCCCGACACCGACGCTATTAGCGTTGACGTCATGTCGCCAAGAGTCATCGCTAACAGTTAAAATCATTTGTTTTAAAATTTTTAATAGATCATAATTTTTAATATCAGTTTATGTCGATGCTACTTTTGAATTTAATTAATTTTATTTTAAATAATTCTTTTAATGGAATGCTTGAAAGTTCACGGGCTAATTTTTTTTATTGTTGATAGGAGCGATGACTATAAACCAACACAAAGGTATATTTCCTTGTATGTTTATTTATTAATTTTTTAACTTATAGTAGCGACGGTGAAAGACCGACGCTATTGTTGGTGCAAAAATAATTTATTTCACCCCATAATTTTTGCTTGCCTCCTTTTTTTTATTTATTTATTGAGTTAAATAGCTTTAAGTTTAGCGTCGTTAAAAATCGACACTAAATTTAGTTCGAAAAATTTATTTTCCCCTGAACTTTAATTTTCCTCCTTTTTTTCTACATTTTTTTAATGTACTTATTTATTAATTTTTTATTCTTTTTAATCAAATAATATTTTCTTTTTTTACCTATTAAAATAATTAATAGATTAATAATATTTTAAAATGAAATATAAAATTTTATATTTTAATATTTATTTAAATAAATATTAAACATAATTGTTTATAAAATAGTAAAAAGAAATAGTAAAACTTAATATAAAATAGTGAAATTGTTTTATTAAATAAATTGAATATAAATAAATAAATATTTGTTTATAAACAATTTTATATTTGTTTATATTTAATATAATTTTTATATTTAATATAATTGTATATAATTGTTTATATTTAATATAATTGTATATAATTTTAAATAATTGTCTATATTTAATATAACTGTATATAATTATTTATAAAATAGTAAAATAGTAAAACTTAATATTTGTTTATAAATAAATAAATATAAAATAGTATTAAAAAAAAGTTCATTGTATTCTTTCGCTTCTCAACAATGTCTCCATATTTCTCGACTTCGTCTCTTTCGCTTCTCTCCATTGTATTAACTTTGTCTCTTTCACATTTATCAACATCCTAATTTCTCATCACCCTAATTTCTAAGAGAAAAAGTATCTAATCTTAGATTCGTCTCAAAATTGTAAGGAAATCGCTTCAGGAAATCGTTTCTCCTTTTCTCATCGCCCTAATTTCTTTAACAAATCGGTTCCCATCGGTTT